ACAGCACACACCCACACACACATTTGCACATACCTCAACATGCATGCGTACATACACATGCACATATGCACTCACGCACCTGTTCGCACATGCACACATGCAACCCTGAGGCATGGCTTGCCCCAGCTCTTGGGAGGAACCTCCTTCTCCCACTACCCGAGCTGGGCCAGTCCCCACGCGACTCAGCATTTCCTCTGCACAATCACCTGCTGGCTTCTTCACTCCTATTTGCACTGTGTGTCCCTGTGTTCCCCGAGGGAAAGTGAGCAGGTACCTTGGGCAGAAAGGGCTAGGAAAGATGGTCCTGTCCCAAGGATTCCTTTAAGTCTCTGAGCCTAGCAGTTTCCTGGCACATAGTACTTGTGCAATAAAGATTCAGGTGAGTCAAAGAAACATTCTGAAATGCAGACATCTCAGTGTGCTTAAAGTGGAACAAGCATGAACCAGGCTAGTGCTCAGAGTGCACTATACGTCTTCAACTTATCAACTAACTGTTGTTGAGATTCAACCAGATCCTGACACAAGGGAGAAAAGGACAAACAGGACATGCTACCAGCCATAGCCCAGAGGGGACAGATATGATGTACTCTTCAGAAACTCTTAGAAACTAGGTGGAGAACAACACAAAGGATTTTCCTAAGTTGAGAAAGAAGAAGGTGCTCTTGGCAGAGGGACAGCCCAGAAAATATACAAAGACACAGCACTTTCCTGAAGGTGAAAAGTCTAGCTTCTGGAACCCAGGTATGAAGGGGTCAAATTCCCCTAAGTGCTATTTAAAAAAAAAAAATCCTCAATGCCTTACAAACAAAGCTAAGGAGTTTGGACTTTATCTTGTGGGGAACTGGGAGCCCCAGATGGTGGTTAAGTAAGAATAGGATCGCCAGCATGAGCAAATGATTGAAAGCTGCATGACCTCCGGGTTAGTGGGGTAAGAACCTGGAACCCTGGCACAGGCTTAGTGGCCCACACCCAGGCAACTCATTCAGGGCAGGGCACCATGGTTCTCTGCCTCTTCCAGAAATCAGAAAACTCAAGCATGCTGACCTTCTGTCCTGGAAAGAATTGTGTCCTGATTGACACAGGCACAGAGAAGTTCCAGCCCACAGGAAGGGTTCTTCAGAAGGCCATGGCACGCCCCTTGAGGATCAGCTAGGTTGAAACCCCTGTTTCTGGGGCTCCAGACACCCCAAGAGCTGAACTCCCTACCCTGCCTCAAGCCCCCTGTGCAGTGCCAATGCTTCTCCTAAAGGCTCTTGAGAACCACCTAGGAGAGATTCAGGAATTGTGCCAGATGGTGGTTAAACACAGCCATTGTGAAGAACTGTATAAACTACTGATTGCACAAATCATTTAAAACAGAGGTAGCAAATACTCAAAGGAGTATCATTCAGTGGTAATAAAACCCTTTTCCTAATTACTTACCATACTATTAGCTTTGAACTCCTGAGGTATTATATTGCCTTGTTTTCATTATATTGCGCTTTTACCATGCATTGCTGTGTTCATAGATCATGCATGATGGGAAATGAATATAAAGATGTGACGCACGTCTGCCTTACCTCCACACTCAGTGACCTCACACTGGTAACTTGAATGGGCCACAGTGGGCATATTTACACCACAGAAATTGGCAACCTACAAATCAAGGATTTTTTTCCCCCTGCAGAGTGGGTGGTTAAACACTTGGCAGTCCACCATCCATCTCCACCCTCTGCACTGCCATCTCCCTATGGAGGCCCCCCCCCCCACCCTTCCTTTCCATTCTGTCAGCTCCAGCAGTGCAATTGGCCTTGTCAGATTACAGCCATCAAATGGATTTCAGGATAGCACGGTGACCTGAGTGACTATCCCATTTGTGTTTACTTGGTCCTGTGATGGGGTTATCGGGGTGACTCCTTGTGCTGCCCAAGCCACACCACACACCACACCCAGCCTCACACACTGGATGGGCTCCAGAGTGTGTGAATGGAGGAAGATGCTGGCCTGACACCTCGGGCAGGAAATTAAAGAGAGGCCTACCTTCATCAAGCCTACGAATTCCAAGTCACTTCGGGTTCCATGTGACCAGCAATGGTGCTGAGCATCTTTCTGTGGTTCCTAGTTCCTGTGTGTCACTGCCGAGCCAGGAACCCTCCAGGAAAACTCATTTATAAAATGACAACAAGAACTTATAAGCAGTTACCTGGAGGCTGCAGATGCCTTCTGTCAAAAGGATTCAAGGTTAGGAAGGCAGCTGTATTGATTTGAAGCTCAGAGACCCCATGCAAGAAAATACCTGTGCTCTGGTTACTGCTGTTGTGTGGGGAAACAAATCCTCTGTCCAGGGGAGGGGATAGCCCTGTCTGCGGATTACTGAGACTTACTTCCCATGGGTTTAACTTCTTGGGACTATCTTCATGACCTTGGAGTTGATAAGGGAGGAATTTCTCAAGCAGGACATAAGAAATAAATCAAAACCTGGGGCCTGTGGCTCACATCTGTAATTCCAGCTACTCAGGAAGCAGAGATCAGGAGGATCACAGTTTGAAGCAAAGCTGAAAATAGTTTGCAAGGCCCTATTTCAGAAAAAAACCCACCACACAAAAGGACTAGTGGAGTGGCGCAATGTATAGGCCCTGAATTCAAATCCCAGTACTGAAAAAAAAGTGGAAGGAAGGAAGGAAGGAAGAAAACACAAAGAACACTAAAAGACAAGACTGATGAATTGGACTTTGTAGAAGTTAGGCCTCTTTCTTCATTAGAAGACACCACTGATAGACTAGCAAGGCAACCCACAGACTGAGACAAAATTGGTAATACAGAAAATGGGCATATGGCCCATACACAGAATGTAGAAAGAAATGCAACTCAGTTAAAAAAAAAAAAAGAACCCAGTAACAAGTGATCAGACACTTACACAGCAACTTCACAGAAGAGGCCCAGTGAGCATATGGAAAAATATGCAGCCTGGATAGTCACCAGGGAAATTAAAAGGCACAATGAACTGTCACCACACCCCCACAACAGTGGGGAAAACTCTAAGAAGAGAATGACAAGTGTAGGTGAGGATGCGCAGCAGCCAAAACTAATGGGAGTGTGAACTGGTACTGCCACTGTGGAAAGTAGTTGGGCAAGATCTCAAAAAGCTGAGCGCACACCTACCCATGGCCCAGGAGTTCCCAGCACTGAGCGCAGCCATCCACCAAAGGGACGTGCTAGAATGTTCATCTCAGTACATGATGCCCCCAAAGTGGAACAACACAAACATCTAACAGTTGACTGGAGCGTATTTTTACACCATGGACGCTATAGCACTAGACATGAATGACTCTCGTGACAACAGCAAGCAAATGCAGCCAGACAGAAAAGAGTACAAGCCACATGATTCCGTCTTTGTGAAGGTCAAGGTGGGCAAGACCACGATAGTGTACTCTTTGAAGGAGGAGGCAAGGGGTGGGAAAAACATGATCTAGAATCTGAGATTTAAATATCAAAATAGTTTCTCCTGCTGCATTGTGAGCTTTAATTCTTCTTTGCTTTTGAGATAGAAGATTCCAGGTCAGGCAGTTTGTCTGAGGACACCCCTGCCTCCCTGTAGACCCCCTTTTCCTCTGCTACCAGCAGGCACGAACTGCAGGAACAGCCCAACTAGGAGTTGTCCCTTATATTGATTTTATTTTGGCTTCAAGTAAAAGTTCCACTAGCAGCTCTGCTTTCTTGTGTTTTAATTTTATTTCACATTTTCTTATCTCTTGCCAGGTACCAGGCACTGTTTATTGTATATTATTTATATTATGTTTATTGTATATTATTTATTGTAATACTAACTGTTCATTGTATATTATTAATACTAACTTATTTACAGTGTTACTCATTCATTAAGCCTTCTGGGCACTTATAATAATAATGGCCTCCTTACTGAGCTCTTCTTAAATGTCAGGTAGTAAATTCTCAGTTAATCCTCACAGGAGCCTTTCCTTAGGGGGGGTGGAGAGAATAGAGAATAGGTTTGTTCCCTTCCCTTTACAGGTTCAGCGACATTAAGTTACTTGCCCAAAGCTACACACACAGCTAAGTCTGTGACAGTTTGGATACAAACCCAGACTCTGCTTTACTACAAAGCACCAGGTATTGTGACATCAGGGGACCACCTTCAAGTAAATCACCTTGCAGGACTGGTAGAAATAGGTTTCTTGGGTCTCCCCTTGGCCTAATGAATGGAAATCCATGACCCCTACTCTGGCCCAGTATTCCACACAAGTGGTTCAAAACCCAATTCTGGTGCACACATAGGCACAGAGACCCCCTGAGTGGATGGAGTGACATTGGGGTCCACATGGCCCTTCCTCCCCCCTGGAGACAGGGGAGACATCCCTTACTTTGGCAGTGCTTGGGATAGAACCTAGGACCTCATGCATGCTAGACAGCAAGCCTCCCACTAGGCTACACCCCTAGTCCCCCTTACTTCCTTCTGGTCTCTGGACAAATGTCATGTCTGGGAAACCCACCTCTCTGACTGCTGGTCCCTTTGTTTTGCCTAAGTTGTCTCTTGTGTCTTGGAATTATATACGGACTAGGTTGAACTATATGAAGTTGTCCCCGTGTAGGTCAAAGCCTGGTTGAAGATATCCTGTGACATTTAAGCGTTTCCCTCCATCAGAATGTCCCTTACAGCGTGTGAACGACAATGCCTGGGCACTGGGTAAGCGATGGGTAGGGGGTTGAAGGAAGTTGATCCCTCCAAGGCGCTCAGCAACCGATGCAAAGAGGGGTGTGGGAACGAGGAGGGGTGCGGCCCTGCGCCCCGCGATCTCCACCGGACGTCTTCCCAGCCCTGCGGCCAGGCGGGGTGGGGCTCGCCGTCATCCATTTACCAGCCTCGCCCCTCAGACGGGCGCGCCGTTAATGAGATTAGCAATTAAAAGGCGGGCGATCGGTGGCGGACGGGGCCACCCACAGGCCGAGCCGGGCGGGAAGGCGCCACAGACACAGCCGGGCCGCTCGGACGCGGGGTGCGGGCCATGGAGAAAGCGCGGCCGCAGTGGGGCAACCCGCTGCAGTTCGTGTTCGCCTGCATCTCCTACGCCGTGGGCCTGGGCAACGTGTGGCGCTTCCCCTACCTGTGCCAGATGTACGGCGGAGGTGAGTGCCCGCGCTCCGCGTCCCCGACGCTCGCTCTCTGCGTCGGGTCCCGCGCGCCCTGCAGTGCGCGCGCCTGGGGTGCGCGCGGGGATGGACACAGCAGCCTGCAAGACCCCGAGGATCCGGGTGCCAGCGTCGCTCCCGGACACCCCTCCTGCCCCAGCTCGAGCTGCAGCTCCGGGGCGGCCAAGTCAGGCCAGAGCTGTGGAGGCGCGGGTCGCTGCTCTCCTCTCCAAGGGAGGGGGACAGGTGGCGTTGGCTTGACTTCTTAGGGAGTAAAATGAAGTAGGAAATTGTCTCCTTCAACAGAAACCCGTCATACAGCTTCCCGATCTGAAATTTAAGTCCCAAGGCAACAGGTTGAAACTCAGGTTACGAGGATCTGGAGCAATTCTTCAATTTCGTTTTAAGGAGAAGATTAGTTTGAAAGAAATTGGTTTGAGTTGGGTCTCACAGAAGGCAAGGAAAACAAATGATTCCACATCTGGAGTTTTTTTTTGTTTGCTTTTTTTTTTTAAAGTTTTCTCTGAACCCTGGCTGCAGTTGTGGGTAGAGAGATGCCACACACTCAAGGGCTCTCTCCCTTAGAGGTGCACAGCTGGGAACTCCTCCCGGGCACACCAAAGACCCTCAGAAAGGCCACGTCCTTTCAGGAGGGCAGTGTGGCAAGAGGGAGCTAAGTTTTGGCGTTAAGTTTTTTCTCCCTTGTTTCATTTTTTAGCGTAATCAGCATTCTAACAGAAGGTAGACTTCAGAAGGAAGACCTTCTTTTACAAGACCAGAGCGCTGGAAGCCTCCTCAACTCTGCACTAGACGGGACCCAGTCAGTAAGGGGCATCCACGCAGTGGGGCTCTTGTCAGCCGTTAAGGCAGAGTTTTCATAAAATTTCATCTGAGTATTTTCTTATATATTAAACGGAGGGAGAAGAAGTTGGATTCAAAGCTGTATAAAATGGATGTAAAATTCTAAACAGTTGTGTTTAAAATATGCAGAGAAAAGAGAATGAGGGCAATACCAAAGTGTTAACAATAACAAAGTGTTTTATTTTTTATCTTGTGCTCTGTGAGTGTGTGTGTCTTCAAATCAGCACGGTTTTTTTCTCCATACACAGGACAGTGTAAGATGTTAGATCAAGTAATTACACAATTTAATCCAATAAGACCATCAAGACCTAAACATTGATCCCTCCTCCTGTCACCCCCACCAGCTCAAAATCAACTAAACAAAAGATTAATCCATGGAGTTTGAAAACCAGCACATTCTTAACACTCTGTTTCCTTCTTTAAATGGAAGTGTACAAATGCACCATTGCTGTGATGTGCTCTCAGCTTCAGAGCTGGCCTTGGGAGGGATTATTTGTCAGAAGGAGATTTTCACATCCTTTTCTGCTCAGTGCACCATCAGGATACTTTATTCTGTGTATACAATTCCCAGCTGCCACGCCAGGTGAACCTCACTGCCACATGACAGCTTACCTCCTTGTTTATAAGGACACCATCGCCAGAACAGTCTGCAGGTGGGCACGGGTGGAGCTGACTGGTTCTGAAGTCAAATATGTATCTAAGAGTTGCTAGGGAACCTTCCAGACCGTCAGGACTCAGGAAGAAGAAACAAGGAGAGATCCTGCTCTGGTATGGAAGACACGTGGTCTGTTTGGGTGACAGACAAATGACTGGGGGCTGGATAGAGAATGGTGGCCAGGTGGATGCATGGGTGATGGGCAGATGAATGGGGATGCCTGTAGGTCAGGTAAATGGTGAGTGTCTCCAGAATAAAGACCAAACAACTTGTCTGGTACACCTACCTGATATTTCTCCCTCATTCCCCATCACTCATCTTCAACCCTCCCCCCAGCCCCCAAGCCCTCTGAGCAGCCTTCTGTCCCCAACACGTACTTCCCTGCCTTCCTTTCCCGCAGGCACATTCTCCACCGGGCTCTGCTCTCAGCCTGGAGAACTCCTATGCTACCCTCTCCTCTGCCCTTTCTGATGTCCCCACTACCTGCACTTGTAGCTCTCAAGTTTTCCTGCCTCCCTGCCCACCTTGTAGTCTCTATAATGGGTGGGGCCAGAGGAGGCACCCAATGAACACTTGTAGAATGAATGAGCAAGGTCTGCTATGCAAAGCAGTAGAATAAATGAGTCACCTGCCCAAACCCCAGTGTTTACACCACCCCTCTCCTCCACGTGAGGGACACACCAGCCACATCAGGGCAGACTCCAAAGGGTGTATAACCTGCTCAAAGCTGCAAATGCCTGGCCAACAAAGAGCTTGTTTATAAACTGTGAGCCTGGCTGTGCCAAATACTTTCCAGAATCAAGTGGATTAGAGTCTGTGCCGCTTTCCTCAGCCCGTTCCCTTCCTCTCCCTGGGCCAAGCCCCAGAGAGAGAATGTTAATTCTGTGCAGCTGTGGCCACCAGCACACACACACACACACACACACACACACACACACACACACACACACACACACACACACACACACACACGGCAAAGAGAACTTCAAATCATGTTTTGTTTTTTGTTTAAAGTCAGCCTGTCAAAGTTCACAAAGAAGCCAGGGACATAGATGCTCTGAACACCAGTGTGTGAAAACAAAACACGGGCATGGACAAAGTGTGGAGAAGTGACAGCAGTTGTGGGACTGGGGCAAATATGGATGTTTTTCTCTTAAATTTTCTCTGCGTGATATTTGAATGGGGGGTGGATCAGAGGATGCCCAGTGAGGGAAAGGAACAGTGACACTCAGAGTTGATTCTCTATTTCCTCTCAACCCCCCTACTCCAATGGAAGGGGTATACCCATAGTGGGGATATACTGAGAAACCCCTTTGAATGTCAACTCAAATATTAATGAAAATAGCTACAGTGGGGAGGGGTACTAGTGGGAGGGGGCGGAGTGAATGAGGGAGATGAAGGTGAGGGTATATGGTTGATGGACTTCATATACCTATATGAAATAGAACCAAAAAAACCTCTTACAATTGTTTTAAGTGGGGCGGGGAGGAAGTTGAGGGGGCAGGTGATGGGGGTGATATAACTAATGTACAATATAAGCCTAATTGGAATTGTCACTACGAATCCCCTCCTGTATAATGAATATATCCTTTAAAAACATTTTTTTAAAGCCCCTATCCTCTCTGAGGCCAGAAGCCAGATCTTCCAACCCTTCCTTTAACTCTGCTCACCCCAAATTGCTTCAAGTACTACATCTCGAATGAGAGGAGAGCAGGATTTAGCATTTCTAAAAGCTCCTTGTGTGGCCCTTGCTGCTGGTCCATGGACCACACCTTACAGGAGGGTCACAGGTGCTCATGGGCCCCCACTCTACCAGCTGCTGGGGAGCTGTCGGGGTGAGGGGACTTGGTGGAGAGAGCAGGACCTAACTGATAGCAGTTGCTATTTATGGTGGGGTAAATCCTCCCACCATGGCAGATTACAGATTGCCACCATATTGTCCCAGAATGTGGGGATGGGAAGAGTTGGGGACCGTTGGTGCTGTGAGCTGGTCTGTGCCAGCCCTTGCATGCAACTGCAGCCATGCTCAGGTCAGCACCTAGCCTGGGGCTGATCCCCACTAGATTGTCCAGGGAGGATGGAGAACTGCAGTGGTGCTCACTTACAGTGTGTGTGTGTGTGTGTGTGCGCGCGCGTGTGTGTGTGCACACACGTGGGTGCATGTTCAGGTTCGGATGTGTTGTTTCTGCAGTTCTCCTGGGTGGGACAGAGTTTTGGAGGCCATAAAGCATTAAGTACGTACCATTTCCAAAGTGAACTGCAGATGACAGGTCCCTCAGTTATGGCTAGGGCCTCAGAGAGGCCACACCAGCTGCTCCTCCTGGTGTCTCCAGTGTCAGTCCTAGTGACAAGCCCTCCACTGGGCTCCTGGCACATGCCAAGCATGCTGGAGATCATCTTCCGCAGAAATCCAGTCCCACCTTCTCAGCACTCCCATGGTGGGTCCTGTCAGCCACAGACAGGAAACATATGCAGAAAAGAAAAGGGTAGCCATCTCTGTGTTCAAGAGGGGCTCTCTCCTCAGCACCCCACAGCTTGTGTTTAATAACAGCTGGATAGGAGTGGCTGCATCACAGGTCCAGGCCTTCTCTCAGGAACCCCTTGTGAGGGTACCTTCCTCCCATAGTCTGTGACCCTTGGCCATGGCTTCACCTGGACATTGTGGGGGGCCTGGCCAAGAGCTGTGTATCCCCTATTTCCTCCTGTGTGGATCCCTTGTCTCTTCTGGTCCAGCCTCCTTTCCACCTGTTCCCCTCTCTGAGTGCACCCCCACAATGTCCAGTGTCCTCCCTCTCTGTCTGGCACCCTCTGCTCCTCACTTTTCTCAGGCAACCTCCTCCTTTCAAAATCAAAAGCCATCTCCTACGTGCAGGCCTCCTTGGGTGCCCAGGCTAAGCCATCCCTCCCTTGCAGTGCACTGTGGGGTCTGACATGTTCCACCCTGCTGAGGGGAGGCAAAGCGACCAGTCAGAACACAGTGTCCACCCACTGGTGGAGAAGCCTCTATCTGCCTGCATGTTAGAGTTACCAGGAACTGTGAAAATGCAGACACCTGTGTCCTGCCCCCAGAAGTCCTGACCGGGTTATCTTTAGGTGTGGCCTGTCTTCAGGAGTTTTAAAAGATCCACACAGGATTCTGCTGTGCAGTTTCACATCCTTTTATAAACAGGAAGAGGCACGGAACAATTAAAAAACAAACAATAGAAATCTTCCAGGCACTTAAGAAATATTCCTTGAATATCAGCCACAAGCCAGGACAGTGTAGAAGGGGAGGTGGCAAAGATGGCCATTACTCTGGGGTGGGAAGGGAACAAATGTGGAAACACCCCATCAGCACACAGTGGGCGGAGCTTTCCTAGAGGGCTATGTAGAGAGTTTGCTGAAATAACTCGAGAACTCGTTGTCCAAAGATTCCATCGTCCAATCCAGGCAGTGACAGAGTAGGAGCTCATCAGGGAGGAGGAACAGTTTGAAAAGGGCA